CACTCTTTTTTCTTTTTTCTTTGTTTTGTTTTTTGAGACAGAGTTCTCACTCTGTTGCCCGGGGTAGGTGCCGTTGGCGTCAGGCCTCCGCTCACAGCAGCCTCGGCAACTCCTGCGCGCTCCATCAATCTGGTCCTCCTGCCTCAGCTCCCCAGTAGCTGGACTACAGGCCTGCGATTTTGCCCAGCTAAGTTTTTTTTATCATATATATTTTGTTGGCATTAATTTCTTTCTATTTTTTGAGGTAAATGGTTTGCTCTTGGTTCAGGCGTCGGTTCGACCACTCCGACCTTCGGCCAATCCTTCTGCCTCGGCCTCCCAGAGAGCTAGGATGACAGGCATGAGCCACCACGCGCCCGGCCTCAACTTGCATACTCTTAAGCAGTGTTGTATTATTATGCAAAGCAAAAGCTGCCTGAAGTTTGATGGTCAAAATTCCTCATCTGCATTTTACTGGGATTTCTTTTTTACACACTTAAACATATTATAAGAAATATTTACTGGTACTATGAGATACTTAGCGCATGGACTCAGGGTTTCTTGGTATGCTTACAGACTTTGGCTATCCTGTGTATTCTGAGGCAGACAGCTATGGACTATGTAGTGGCTTTTGTGTCTGTCACCTAAACTTGAGTACATATACATGAATAAAAGGCCCTTTAGGCCGTGCGCGGTGGCTCACGCGCTGTAATCCTAGCATCTGGAGGCGGCAGGAGGTGATTGCTCGAGGTCGGGAGTTCGAAACCAGCCTGAGGGCAAGAGCGGAGACCCTTCTCTACTATACAATAGGAAGAAATATTGGCCAAACTAATACATATAGAAATAAATTAGAGGGCATGGTGGGCGCATGCCTGAGTTGCCCAGACTACGGTCGGAGCTGAGGCAGGAGGATCGCTTGAGGCCACGGGTTTGGAGGTTGCTGTGAGGAGGGCTGACACCACGGCACTCTCGCTCCTAGCAGCTGGGCAACAAAGGGACTCTGTCTCAAAAAAAAAAAAAAAGGCCTTTGTTCTTCGTTGATTTATTGAAAGGACCCTGAACTTTGGTCGCATAAACTATTCCACAGAGTTCTATGTGAAAACTGGATATATTCATGTCATTCATTCAACATAACTTGTTGAGAGTCCAATTGACACCAGGCACCGGGTTTATAGTAGCTCCTACTACTATAAAATGCAAAGGCAAATGCAAAGAGAGAATAAACTAAACCAAGCCCCCTTTTTTGTTTTGTTTTTCCTGCTAGGGCTACCATAAAGCTTTGGTCAAACTTAAACTGAAAAAAGATTCGGTGGATGACATCTCAGAGAGTCTGAAGCAAGGAGGAGGCAAGTTAAACTTCGATGAACTTCGACAAGATCTCAAAGGGTAAGAATGACACTTGCTGAGGGCCTGGGAAATTCGCACTCGGTGCATGGATTTCAGGACTCGGGTGTCCTTTCTGGATTATGTTGCACAAAAAGGACTGGCTCCCACTCAGCAGATTCCTCTTGTCCTCCTCCAATTTTGATGTCTCTGGTGTTTGCAGTGGACCATGCACAAAAATATTTCTTGTCTGTATCCTCTCAATAATTTCGGAAGGGCCACACCGATGCAGAGATTGGGCAATATTCACCAAGTATGACCACGGATGGAGATCAAGAACTGGACTGAGCACGAGCACCAGCAGATGAGAGACGATTTGGAAAAAGAGAGGGTGGGTCTAGTTTAGGCGGACCATGGTGTCATTCAGTACCCACAATGCATCCGGGATATGCAAATAGAAGAAGTGCAGTGCCATTGAGTGTCTCCCTGCACCCCCCCATCTCAATCAGTTTACCTATTAGTTCCTTGCCTATTTCACCAGGATATATAGCACAATTATACTATATAAAAATGCATTTTTAGCACAATTATATATACTTAATGCACTATATATATATAAAAATGGATTAAGTTGGCACGATGTAAAAAAGTCACAGTGAAAAGAGATGCAAAACAAAGCATTAAAATAATCGATTGTGGATGGAAGCTAAAAAAATGCATTCATGTTTTTAGCACAATATATATATCTAAAGGCACAATCGCGTATACTATATATAGGACCTGAGGGCCTGGGAAATTCGCACTCGGTGCATGGATTTCAGACTCGGGTGTCTTTCCGGATTATGTTGCACGAAAAGGACTGGCTCCCACTCAGCGGTTCCTCTTGTCCTCCTCCAATTTTGATGTCTCTGGTGTTTGCAGTGGACCACGCACAAAAATAATTTCATTGTCTGTATCCTCTCAATAATTTCAGGAAGGGCCACACCGATGCAGAGATTGAGGCAATATTCACCAAGTATGACCAGGATGGAGATCAAGAACTGACTGAGCACGAGCACCAGCAGATGAGAGACGATTTGGAAAAAGAGAGGGTGGGTCTAGTTTAGGGGACCCTGGTGTCATTCAGTACCCACAATGCATCGGGATTATGCAAAATAGAAGAAGTGCAGTGCCATTGAGTGTCTCCCTGCACCCCCCCATCTCAATCAGTTTACCTATTAGTTCCTTGCCTATTCCACCAGGGATATATAGCACAATTATATATATAAAAATGGATTAAGTTGGCACGATGTAAAAAAGTCACAGTGAAAAGAGATGCAAAACGAAAGCCATTAAAATAATCGATTATGGATGAAGCTCAAAAATGCATTCATTTTTTAGCACAATTATATATATTAAAGCACAATTATATATATATAGCACAAGGATATATAGCCCAATTATATATATTAAAATGGATTAAGTTGGCACGATGTAAAAAAGTCACAGTGAAAAGAGATGCAAAACGAAAGCCATTAAAATAATCGATTATGGATGAAGCTCAAAAATGCATTCCATAGAAACTACCTGTGCTTATTAAGATTGGCCTCCAAATTTGGCCTTAAAGCTTTCCTGTAATCAAGTTGAACAGATAAGCCTGAGCAGTTGCCAAGTTGACAAAGTCCGTAAGAGAAAGGAGAAAAAATATATATATATACTTATCAAGAGGTACAGAATTATTCTGGTTAGCTAGTTAAGTTATTAGCATGTGTAGTAAAATAAAACTAACAGGAGGAAAAGTCTAGAACAGTGGTTTCTAAATGCTGCTCCGCAAAACAGTGCCAGTAGGTGACATGTCACCAAGTTATAGTGACATGTAAACACAGAGAATGCCAAACATTTTCACAAGCCTGTATTTAGTCAGAATTCTTATTCTGAGGTTATGTCTTCCTACTTTGGAGCTATTGAATGTTTTATCTTTTATAAAAGAAAGGTGACACAGGTTGATCATTCTTAACTCAAAAGTTTTCAAAATACTCCAAAATCTAAAACTTTTCTTTTTCTCTCTTTTTTTTTTTTTGTTGTTGTTGAGTTATTTTTTCTTCTTTTTTTAAATATTTTTTAATTATTTATTTTTTTATTATTTTGCTATATATTTTCTTATTTATTATTTTATTTATTTAGTGGAACTAAAACTTTTTGAGCACCAAAATAACACTCGTAGGTCATGCTCAAAAAGAAATGCTCACTGGAGCAGTTCGGAGTTTGGATTTTCAGATTAAAGGTGTTGAACTGGTAACTATAATGCAAATATTTTTTTTTTTTTTAAATCTAAAATACCTCTGGTCCCAAGCATTTCAAATAAGGGCTACTCAACTCATATACGTCTTCATTTACTTTTTTCGCTGCTTTATTGTGGTTTTTTTTTGTTTTTTGTTTTTTTTTTATGTCTTCCTGTGCTTCGGGATATTGTGTTTTTTTTTGTTTAGTTGTTTTTTTGTTTGTTTTTTTTTGTTTTTGTTTTTGTTTTCAGCATATTATGGGGGTACAGATTTTAAGGTTTCAATAAATGCCCATCTCCCCCCTCTCCCCCCACAAGTCTGATTCTCCAGCTTGTTTGGGTTTTTGGTTGTTGTTTTGTTTTTTCCAGCAATCTAGATATCCAGGTACCTTTATTGTGTTTTTAAATATTCTTTTTTTTGTTCAGACAAAAAGTTAGTGGCTTCTTGCTGGTTGTTACAGTCTGTTCTGGGAATCTGCCAATCCATGAAATTGGAAAAAGGTGGGCACCCCAGTCTGGTGTTGAACCACACAGGAACCCTAAGGAAAGGCCACACGTCCACTTCCCACTTACCCAGGTTCTTGCTGAGGCTTCTGTGGGGTCCCGGGGTCCCTGCCCCTGCCCCAATGTCCCCATGTTCTCCAGGAGGACCTCGACTTGGACCACGGCTCCCTACCGCGGCCCATGAGCAGCCGGAGTTTCCCGAGAAGCTTCGATGACTCTGAGGAGGACGATGACGAGGACAGTGGACACAGCTCCAGAAGGAGGGGCAGCGTCTCTAGTGGCGTCTCCTACGAAGAGTTCCAAGTGTAAGTCGAAACAGCTCGGCAGAATTGGGGTCCACGGGGGTCCCAGTGAGACCAAGCATTTCCCCTCATTTCTCCCAGTTCGCTCCTTTCCGTCACTAATCATCAGTTTTGGGGGTTTTTTTTATAACTTTTATTTTTGGTTGTTTTATTTTCTTTCTCTTATATAAGATGTTCTTCGTAAGAATAGTAGCAGATCAGAGTAAAAGAAAACGTGAAAGTCTCCCATTATCCTGCCAACCAAAAATATCTCACCATGGGCCGGGCGCGGTGGCTCACACCTGTCATGCTAGCGCTTTGGGAGGCCGAGGCGGGAGGATCATTTGAGGTCAGGAGTTCGAGACCAGCCTGAGCCAGAGCGAGACCCTGTCTCTACTAAAAATAGAAACAAACTAATGACACGTAAACTAGTTGGGCCAAACTAGTTTAGTTGGCCAACTAAAAATATGTATAGAAAATATTAGTCAGGCATGGTGGTAGTCCCAGCTACCCGGGAGGCTGAGGCAGGAGGATCGCTTGAGCCCAGGAGTTGGAGGCTGCTGTGAGCGAGGCTGATGCCACGGCACTCACTCTAGCCTGGGCAACAGAGTGAGACTCTGACTCAAAAAAAAAAATAAACAAATTGGCAGAATTTGGGTTGACAAGAGTCCAAAAGAGACCAAGCATTTTCCCTCATTGAGAATTCACTCCTTTCCACGACTAATCATCAGTTCTTTTTTATAACTTTTATTGGTTATTTTATATTCTTTCTCTTATATAATACATTCATTATAAGAATATTAGCAAACCAAAGTAAAAGAAAACATCCAAGTCTCCCATTATCCTGCCAACCAAAACTATCTACTAATATCTCACTATGCCTCGAACTCCTGGCCTCAAGCGATCCTCCCGCCTCAGCCTCCCCAAATGCTAGGATTACAGGCGTGAGCCACCGTGCACCGTGCTTCCTTTGGAAACTTTTCTCAAAATGCAATTTCCGAATAAAGGAAGAAGCGTGCATTTTTTAAGACTTCTGCGACAGTTGACACGCCCACCCGCGGTGCTGAGAGTTTATCTCTAAAGCTTGAAACCTGCCGGGCGCCGGTGGCTCAGAACTGTCATCCTAGCACTCTGGGAGGCCGAGGTGGGAGGATCGCTCAAGGTCAGGGGTTCGAGACCAGCCTGAGCAAGAGCGAGACCCCGTCTCTACTAAAATAAAAATATAAAGAAATTAAAAAATTAATTAATTTTCTATATATAGATTGGCCAGGCATGGTGGTGCATGCCTGTAGTCCCAGCTACTGGGGAGGCTGAGGCAGGAGGATCGCTTGAGCCCAGGAGTTGGAGGTTGCTGTGAGCGAGGCTGACGCCACGGCACTCACTCTAGCCTGGGCAACAGAGTGAGACTCTGTCTCAAAATAAACAAATAAACCTTAAAACCACTCAGAAAGTGTTCCAGTTGATCCTATTGCCTAAGAAAAAGAAATCCCCTAGCATTTGTATTTGGAAAGCCACCTGGGCTGGAGAGACGGAGAGTGACCGGGGCTCTGCCCCTCTCGGTGGACGTGTGTCCCGCAGCCTGGTGAGACGGGTGGACCGCATGGAACATTCCATCGGCAGCGTGGTGTCCAAGATCGACGCGGTGATCGTGAAGCTGGAGGTCATGGAGCAGGCCAAGCTGAAGCGCAGGGAGGTGCTGGGACGCCTGCTGGAGGGAGTGGCCGAGGTAAAGCGCTGGGGACACCACGGGGGAGGGACGAGGCTAAAAAAAATGCTGCATGTCGGTCTCTGGGAGGCCGAGGAGGGAGGATCGCTCGAGGTCAGGAGTTCGAAACCAGCCTGAGCAAGAGAGCGAGACCCCGTCTCTGCTATAAATAGAAAGAAATTAATTGGCCAACTAATATATAGAGAGAAAATTAGCCGGGCATGGTGGCGCATGCCTGTAGTCCCAGCTACTGGGGAGGCTGAGGCAGGAGGATCGCTTGAGCCCAGGAGTTGGAGGTTGCTGTGAGCGAGGCTGACGCCACGGCACTCACTCTAGCCTGGGCAACAGAGTGAGACTCTGTCTCAAAAAAAAAAAAAAAAAAAACTCCACTCACTAATGGTCCTGCCTCCTCTGGAGAACGGAATTAAGTGAAAAAATACTCCAATGACTTTGAGAGTTGCTCTAACTTGCTGCAAATCCGCAACCTTCCCTAACTATAGACAGATTTTTTAGGCCGGGCATAGGGGTGGCTCACGCCTGTAATAAATCCTAGCACTCTGGGAGGCCGAGGCGGGAGGATCACTTAAGGTCAGGAGTTCGAGACCAGCCTGAGCAAGAGCGAGACCCCATCTCTGCTAAAAATAGAAAGAAATTTAATTGGCCAACTAAAAATATATAGAAAAAATTAGCCGGGCTCAGGGGTCTCTATTTTAGTAGAGACCCCGTCTCTACTAAAATAAAAATATAAATAAATTAATTAATTTTCTATATATAGAAAAAATTGGCCGGCCATGGTGGCCCATGCCTGTAGTCCCAGCTACTCGGGAGGAGGCTGAGGCAGGAGGATTGCTTGAGCCCAGGAGTTGGAGGTTGCTGTGAGCGAGGCTGGCGCCATGGCACTCACTCTAGCCTGGGCAACAAGGTGAGACTCTGTCTCCAAAAAGAGATTATGTGGCCCCCGGATTCCCTGCTGGGGTGTCTAGGTAGAGGAGCGTGCGTTGGCCCTTGTCCCCAACCCTGGATTCCCGTTCTGTTTTCAGGATGAAAGGCTGGGCCGCGACAGCGACATCCACCGGGACCAGATGGAGAGGCTGGTGCGTGGGGAGCTGGAATGCTGGGAGTCGGACGACGCGGCCTCCCAGACAAGCCAGGGGCTGGGCGTGCCCGAGGGTCCCAACGGGCCACCTCCCCCCAGAAGCTCGAGGCCGCCTTCCTCCCAGTCCACAGAAGGCCTGGAAGGCGGAAGACAACCTGGGAACCCTAACATGCATGTATGACCCACGAGTGTGCGTGTGTGCGTGTGTTAGCGTGTGTCTTCCTAACAGGTGACAGGGTGGCTGTCCCCAACCGCCATCACAAGAACCCCATCTATACGCCCCCGCCCGCCGCAGTGGGATTCTGATCTTTGTGACCGACTGTCAACCTTCTGCACTTTATTTCCTGTAAACTTTACCCTGGGATCAAAAGACACTTTTTTTCCCCCCCTTTTTCTCATATAAGAAATCTAAGCTGTAAACATTGAGCACGGAAAAAGACATCTTTGTAAAATATATGGAGGGGGACACCCAGAAGCTGCCACCACTGAGTATTCTTGGTTGACAGTAAAGTCGCCTTTTAAAGCTAGAAAGAGAACCACCACAGGGCTTCTGACTTTGCTTTCCAATCTCACAAATAAGTATTGTTATTTTTGCCCAGTTGGTGAAGAAGAAAGTAGAAGAACATTCCTTTCTGCTCAGATATAGCTCATGAGCTGAATCCATAGCTTTTCTTTTAAGAAATGAGATTTTTATTACGCCTACCTTCCCAGGGTAAACTTTTCTTTTCTTTTTTTTTTTTTTTACCTTCCAACAGATCTAGTAAATTTTTCTTTTTTTAATTTTTTTATATATATTTTTTTTAGTTGTCCAATTAATTTCATTCTATTTTTAGTAGAGACTGGGGTATCGCTCTTGCTCAGGCTGGTCTCGAACTCTTGACGTTGAGCGATCCTCCCGCCTCGGCCTCCCAGAGAGCTAGGATGACAGGCGTGAGCCACCGCGCCCGGCCCTAGTGAACTTTTCTAAATGGTGAAATGCAAAAGAACTCCAAATCAGAAAATGGGTCTGTCTGTGGTCATTATGCTATCATTTGGCTGAGTTGTTAAGATGTTATGAACTATGCTTTTTTTGTTATTTTTTTCTGTATCTAATGTCTGTGGGAATAACTGTATCACTTAATTTTTTTCATTATTTTGGCTCTAATTTGCAATGAGCTGAGTAAAACTACCAAAGATCAAGTCGAGGATAAAATGGCATCTCTAACCATAACAAGAGAATTGGCAGGAGCCCTAAGTTTGACTTTCTTTTTTTTTTTTTTTTTTGAGACAAGAGTCTCACTCTGTTGCCCAGGCTAGAGTGCTGTTGTGTCAGCCTCGCTCACAGCAACCTCAAATTCCTGGGCTCCAGTGATCCTCCTGCCTCAGCCTCCCAAGTAGCTGGGACTACAGGCGTGTGCCACCATGCCTGGCTAATTTTTTCTATGTATTTTTAGTTATCCGGCTAATTTCTTTCTATTTTTAGTAGAGATGGGGTCTCACTCTTGCTCAGGCTGGTCTCGAACTCCTGACGTTGAGTGATCCTCCCACCTCGGCCTCCCAGAGTGCTAGGGTTACAGGTGTGAGCCACAGCGCCCTGCTTGACTTTTTCTAATAATGAGTTCAGTGTGAAGATTTCTGATACATTCTCTTTCCCATGTGGCTCCACTCATTTGCAACTAGATTTAATGTCATAACTAATCTTAATAAGACCAACTTACTACATTTTTAGTACGCACTGAAAGTTTTAATTCAGCAACCATGTTCATTTGAAGCAAAATTGTAAGAAAGTTTTGAAATTCATAGTTTGTCTTACAGTGTTTTAAGAATATAGAACTCAAGTAATCTTGAACTTTGCATGTCAGAGCTAGAATTTATAATCCAAATGGAGCTCAATTTAATAAAAAGGAGGTTTTAGCGTTGAAAGTTCATCCATTATCAAAAAGGGATGGGCTAAAGTCTAAGTTGGCAGTGGTTGGTTTCACTGGGAGAGGGTCTTGCCAAATGTTTGGGGGAAAATCTATTTCTCAATTAAAAAAAATCAAAATTTGGTTTTACAAAAGTGTTAAGTATGGTGACTTTTTGAGAGCTAATAGGTTAGCCTTTAATTCCTCTTGAAAAAAAAAAGAAGATATAAAATATAATAAATAAAAAAAAAGAGAGCTAATAGGATAAGCAGGAGAGTTGAGTTTCTTGGCTCATGGCTTCCTCTCTGTTTCTAGTTTCTTTCGAATATGCTACACAAAATCCTTTATCACTACGGGCTAGAGTTTGCATTCCAGGGACATTGACTGTATATATTTACATACATGTACCATGTTATTACATGTAAACAAACTTCGATTTGAAGTGCAGCCTTATGTGGTATCCATGTGCGTGGACCATGTGCCATCGATCAATTATGGTCACTAGAAATTCTTTTTATCATACTTATTATGATGCTGTTTTTCATTGCACTTGCAAAACTTTGCAGAATTCTTTCTCTTTATACTCATAAATGACGTGTATTTTTCTTCCTAAGTCATGGAGAATTCCCCCCTCATCCCATCCCTGTCCCCTTCCCCTCTGAATTGGTAATCTTAAGAAGATGTTTTGTATGCAAGTCTTTCTCCACGACCAAGTATCTTATTAATGTATAATACTGAACTCTTAATAAAGATTGATATAATAGCAGATGTAAGAGTTGTCTGTTTGCTAAGTAGAAACAATTGAGTGGGCCGGGCGCGGTGGCTCACACCTGTCACCCTAGCACTCTGGGAGGCCGAGGCGGGAGGATCGCTCGAGGTCAGGAGTTCGAGACCAGCCTGAGCAAGAGGGAGACCCTGTCTCTACTAAAATAAAAATATCAAGAAATTAATTAATTAAAAAATTAATTAGCTGGGCATGGTGGCTCACGCCTGTAATCCTAGCACTTTGGGAGGCCGAGGCGGGCGGATTGCTCAAGGTCAGGAGTTCGAAACCAGCCTGAGCGAGACCCAGTCTCTACCAAAAATAGAAATAAATTAATTGACCAGCTAAAAATATATATATACAAAAAATTAGCCGGGCATGATGGCGCATGCCTGTAGTCCCAGCTACTCGGGAGGCTGAGGCAGGAGGATCGCTGAGCTCCGGAGATTGAGGTTGCTGTGAGCGAGGCTGACGCCACGGCACTCACTCTAGCCTGGGCAACAAACCGAGACCCTGTCTCAAAAAAATAAAATAAAAAAGAAAAAGAAACGGTTGAGTGGTTTGCCTTTTATCATGACACTAATAGTAAAGGCTTAGACTTCGAAGAAGGCTCCTTCTCGTCTTATGCCCCAAAACAACATAACTGACACATTTCTATGCTTAGTATACCAAATATGCATTTCAGGTAACTAATTAGCCTTCTTTTTTTTTTTTTCTGCCCAGGCTAGAGTGCCCTGGCATCAGCCTAGCTCACAGCAACCTCAAATTCCTGGGCTCAAGCGATCCTCCTGCCTCAGCCTCCTCCCAAGTAGCTGGGACTACAGGCATGCGCCACCATGCCTGACTCATTTTTTCTGCATATTTTTAGTTGGCCAATTCATTTCTTTCTATTTTTTAGTAGAGACGGGGATCTCGCTCTTGCTCAGGCTGGTCTCGAACTCCTGACCTTGAGCAATCCGCCCGCCTCGGCCTCCCTAGAGTGCTAGGATGACAGGCGTGAGCCTCCGCGCCTGGCCCACTAATTAGCCTTTAGACACAAGGCGGTGACAAGGCATGGTGGCTGGTTTTCTCTTCCCTGCAGAAGGAGACCCTGAGACGAGGAGTGCGGGCGGGTGGTTTGCTTGGGAGGTGTGGGCAGTAGGGGGGGTAGCCTGGAGAGGACAGGGAAGAGGCGTCATTAAAGTGGTGTCACCCAGGCCAACAGTGCAGGCTGCTGAAGCTTAGTTCCTGTGGTGACACTCTGGGGAACAGTGTAGAACAATCTAGAACAAACCGTTCAGACTCATCCCACCCGAGGGGCTAGGCCTTGGGTTGGAAGGCCCCTCTGGGAGAACAGTAGTAGTTCCCTAGCACTTCCGGCAGACAGAGCCACCCTGGCTGGCTTCTGAGCAAGGCAGAGATGCAGACACTGGTCGCTGAGAAGGGCTGTGGCACTAATGGGAATGGCCCGGGTCCCCACAGCACGTGTGGCTCAACTCCAAGGACTCCCATTCCCTTAGAATACAGGCCAGGCACGGTGGCTCATGCCCATCATCCTAGCACTCTGGGAGGCCCAGGCGGGAGGATCGCTCAAGGTCACGAGTTCGAGACCAGCCTGAGCAAGAGCGAGACCCCCATCTCTACTAAAAAATATATATATATAAACAAATTAGGACAACTAAAAATAAATAGAAAAAATTAGCTGGGCATGGTGGCCCATGCCTGTAGTCCCAGCTACTCGGGAGGAGGCTGAGGCAGGAGGATCGCTTGAGGCCAGGAGTTGGAGGTTGCTGTGAGTGAGGCTGATACCACGGCACTCACTCTAGCCTGGGCAACAGAGTTGAGACTCTGTCTCAAAAAAAGAAAAAAAAAATACAATGCAAACAGTGCCCGCAGAGTTGTGCCACGTGACTGTGTGTAGACCCCCCCATAAAACAGGGAGAAGTTCGCAGCATAAGGAAAAGTCACTGGCCTGAGATTCTCATCCTCACACCGTGCTAACCCACCAAGCCACCATGCCAACACACCTACTCCAGTTTCTCTAAACATGCCACTTCTTCACTTGTGCAATGAGAAAATGAACACGTACCTGGTCTCCCTCATGGGGTTCTGTTAACAAAATAAGAATATGTGTGTAGGAAAGCAAGTGCTTTGCAGCTGGCATTTCCATTACAAACAGAAAGAGATGGGACTGCAAACTAGCTCAACCTCTGTGGAAAGCAATATGGAGACACCTCAAAGCGATACAAGTGGATCTACCATTGGATCCAGCAATCCCACTACTGGGCATCTGCCCCAAAGATCAAAAGTCACTCTATGAAAAAGACACCTGCACTCGAATGTTTATAGCAGCACAGTTCACAACTGCAAAGACGTGGAAACAACCCAAGTGCCCATCCATGCACGAGTGGATTAATAAAATGTGGTCTGTGCACACCATGGAGCACTACTCAGCTCTAAGAAATAGCAGTGACCCAGCACCTCTTGTGTGTTCCTGGCTGGAGCTGGAGCCCATCCTACTAAGGGAAGTATCTCAAGAATTGGAAAAATAAGCACCACGTGCGCTCACCAGCAAATTGGCATTAACTGATCAGCACCTAAGTGGACACACAGGAGTGACATCTATCGGGTGTCGGGCAGGTGGGAGGGGAGGAGGGGACGGGTGTAGACAGACACGATGAGTGAGATGTGCACCGTCTGGGGAATGGGCACGCTTGAGGCTCTGACTTGAGGGGGGAGGGGGGCACAGGCAATATATGCAACCTAAACATTTGTACCCCCATAATATGATGAAATTTAAAAAAAAAAAGCAGGGTGATTTCCGGGGCCCCCCTCTCCTGGGGCCCCAGAACTTCGTCCACGAATGTATAATAAAGCCACATGGTTTGGCCCCCCCCAAAAAAAATAAAAATAATAATAATAATAAAAAAGCAACACATAACAATTGATTAAATCAGCAAAAAAGAAAAGGAATTCTTGATGACTTCAAATTTGGAAGGCAAATAAAGGGGACTGATATTGCCACATGATAATTAAAAACTTACTTAAAAGTCTTCTATAAGTTAGTGTACATATATATTTCAAAATTGGGATCATCTTGTTTGTACAGTTTTGTGC